GATGCCGACCGAGCGACTTTGCCTATCTATAGCTAAGGACGTAGAACCGGTACCAAGTAGGCGTATTTCTGGGTCTACCTCTGCGCCTACGCAGCTAGCCCAAGTTAGGCCTGGAACGTGGCGAGAGCCCTATCCTGCACAAACTTTTTGAGGTCTTTTTGCCTGCCAATGTACTATCCAACTCCCACTATTATATAAAGGGCTGGGCCTTTGATCGACGATCAGTGCTCCAAAATTAAAAATTCGTGAAACAATCTTGAAATAGAGACCTCATATATAAGAACCGCCTAGTCAGGGATGCCAGTCCCGACTCCACCAAAGCTACCTGTCTCATGATGCGCAAAGCGCCAATTTATGCCCTCGCTGTACTATGTGCCTGCCCTATCGCTCTCGCTGATCCTGTTTGCATTGTTGGTGCGGGACCTGCTGGCTTGACCATCGCAAATCGGCTCCAAGAAAAAGGATACGACACTGTAATTTTTGAGAAGGACGCTGAAGTCGGGGGGAAATGCCAGGCGTATTATGACGAACAGTGCGTAACATCATAAGCGCTGATACTTCAGATGAGGAGCTTACAACTAGTACTTTTCAGAGGCCTTTTCCATCCGATGGGCGCCCTGCTTTACTCGAACCAGACGTATCGGGAGACGCTACCCGTCATTGACGCATCTGGCGTATCTTCCTTCGCTTTCGGGTATACTTCTCCGCAGTGGCTGTATGACTGGCGCAATGGCTACACCGAAGAGGTGTCCACTCCATTGTCCGAGATGACTGCAAACGAGCTGTTCAAGGAGGAAATCGAAAGGTACACCACCTTTTGGAATACAGAGTTTGCTCCGAAGGCGGTGATAGGATACAAGGCAAGAGGCACGTTATCAGAATGCATTCTCGATCCTGACGACTCTGCTGCTCTGGTATGTAGAATGGTGTTGAAGGGTACACCATGTCGACTTTGGATTGGCTCCTCGAGAATGGCTATCCTCTTCTGTTGCTGCTCTTCATCAACGGGATGGTGCCCTATGGCTATGGGGACGTAAGGCAAACACCCATTGTACGTTTCTCACATCAACCCGGCAGAATCTCATTATTCACGGTGGATGTAGCTCTACATGCTGTCATACTTCACACCCGATATTCTTCTTTTCTTTGCGGGACAGCGTGAGGGATATATCATCGGTAAGCTATTGCTGCCCGCGGCGTTGGAATGTGATCTGATTTCATCCTCTATTCGCAGATTTCCATAAGGTTTTCGTTCGCTATGCTGCTACGAGCGTCAATGGGCCTATACATTTGAACACCAGTATCACTAAAATCGGTGAGCAACATGTAACGGTTCTTGTACTCCAGAGATTTATCTGTTTCCCATCCGCTCTTGCAAAGATCGAAGCGGCATCAGCCCGGTCATCACCTATTACATTGACGGTCCCTCCCCCTCGCTCTCCACTCAAACCTGCTCCAAACTCGTCCTCGCCTTCCCACCCGTTCTTCCCGCTCTCCACGCCGCCAATCTCGACCTCACCCCATCTGAACAAACCATCTTCTCCCCAGTTGGCATCATCAAATACTGGTCCGGTGCTGTCCGCGTAGCGACCCCCAATGGCCTCGCCTTCGGTGGCTTCCTCCGCGCAACGCTCCTCGCCCTTGTCGAGAAATTCCTCGGCACGCATTTCCTCTCTTTCTTGGAATTTGTACCTTGGTTACCAGAGGCGGCGGGGGAGCCTGTTGCGCTTCTGCGCCTGTTCAACCAGTCCGATATCGCCACGACGTATTCTTGGGGGAAGTACGGGAGTTCTCAGACGCTTGCGGAGGCGAAGAATCTCCTCGAGGAAGTTATTTCGAAGATCAACAAAGACCCTCGGGTTTTTGGCGCTGCGCCGCAGCCTGTCACTGACGCAAACGTGAAGGAATTTTTGGAATGGGATTATTTCCCCCATTTTGATCAGCCGCAGTTGGAAGCGGGGGTATTATGCCAAGTTCAATGCATTGCAGGGGGAGAAGAACACGTATTATTCCTCGGGGCTGAATGGGTTCGAGACGGTGGAGTATGCGATACGTGCAGGGATTGATGTCGCAGAGACGTATTTTCCCTCTATCAATAATCAGTAGTGCTACAAGTAACTTCAGGTCATGCGGTCGTAGTTCACCTGAATAATAATTAATAATATTGAACATGCCGCTTCCCTCGTTGGTTCGGTTAAGATGCTCAGTTGCAAAAGAAAATTCCGCCAACTGTCATGCCTTCGCGGGGAATCGAACCCCAGATCCTCTTTACACTGCCACTGAATTACAGGAATGTCAGACTGGAATATTTATCACATACCGGAACTCCAAGGGGTCTATGATGACCCTGGGGTATTCTTCAAGGATCTTTTGGTGAAAGAAAAAACAATTGGGCTACTAGGAAAGTTGGCCTATGATATCCTTGAGGTCTTCTATAGCGAGCCCATGCTGGAGATTAACCCAGCATTATACACCCCCCGAACATGAATAATTGAGCTGAGCCCTGGGCCGGCCTCTCATTTGTCCTTCTCCTTTTCTTTTTCTTTTTCTTTTTCTAGTACTTACTTCAGCATGCGTGCCCAGCGGGACTGTTGAGTTGAAAGTGCATCAATGGATTCTGGCTGCCGGGGAGTTATGGTTCAATCCAAGAAATTGGATGAGCCTCCCACGAGGTTTTACCCGGCAACCTGCCTGCTCGGGTCCGAGCCAGGCCAGGAGTATCATTGGGTACCTAAACTTTCCGCCCCCCGCTCGGTAGTTGTATTGATGGGTAGCTTTTAGCCTGCATAAGTTACAATGTCATACACAGTAAACTGGCAGTTCCAATTGGGGGACCACGTCAGTATAATATATCCTCCTCCTCCTCCATGGAAGTGTTCCGTTTGAGAATCTGGCCTTGACGTAACTCTGGTAGATTTGACAGGCGACCTTCCGTTCAATCTGGGAATAGCTGGATGTGATGTGAGCAAGGGTGCAAGCTCAGGAAAAAAATATGTGCAGATTCGGCCGAATGTTCATTTATGTAAGTTCAAGTTGTTCCCGGTCTTATCCTCATTTTGGACATCAAAAAACGTACATGATGTTTCGTAAGTCAGAATTCTGAAATTAGAACACAAATTACTGGGGTTTTTCATTCAAATCGACAGGGGGTGTGACACGTGACCCGATTTACCTATTCGACATTTCAACAGCGGCCAAATTTTCGCGTGACATCCCTCAAAATTTCGACAATCTCAGGGAAATTTTGACTTTTTTTGTGCTCCTGGGGGGGGGGAGGGAGGGGGGGGAGGATATTCGTGACGGCTTGAAGGTTCGACAAACGCCTTCGTGACGCGTGACATCGACCAATGTTCGACATCGACAGAGGGTTCCGTGATGCGTGACTGTCGATTTGAATGAAAACCCCAGTAATACACGCAGGACGAGCGCTGATATCGAGTCATTGTGGACGCGTACGTTGCCACAGAAAAAGACCTTCGCACTACGGCTATCATGTCTGACGAAGACTGGGATGCCATCAAGCTCGTCTCGGAATGGCTTGGTCTATTCAAAGGAGCCACAGCGAAGATGTCAACGACTAAGAAGCCGATGCTCTCTGAGACTCACACCATCTTTCGCACCCTTCAATCGGCTGTCAAGTCAAGTATCTGTAATCTTCCTGCGCCGCTCAATTCCACCCATGGCGCGGCTCAGAGGAAATTGCGAAACGGGCTTGTCCAGGCTCATCTGAAGCTGAGTGAGTACTTCAGCCGCTTCGACACGTCACCGTATTATCTATGGGCTGCTCGTGAGCTGGGTTTTACTCTTTACTATCACTGTTTAATCCTTCGCTAGTTCTTGACTCCGGCATCTCATATGAAGGCCTCAAACAAGATTACGAGTCCGATTCGACTCTCCTTCAGTCTCTCGAGAATGCCAAGGATGAGCTTTACACGGAGTACATCACTCACTATGCAAAAAGTTCATCTCCGGTATCACCTGGCGACACGGCAGCGTCAACCACGACTACCCCCACCTCTCCCTCCAAATTCGATTTCCTTGGGCGATACAAGAGGAGCAACGTCTCTCCAACATCACAGCTCAAACGCGAGCTCGATAAATATTTCGAGATGACGGCGCCGGCCGGCAGAACCCGAGGATATGGAGACGTGTGGCATCCTGGTGGAAGAATCGGGGAAGCACCTTCCCGAACTTGTACAAATTGGCTCGAGATATCCATTGCATCTCAGGTACGTTGGCTAATAGTCCTCCTGCTGTTTAATAATAATTTTTCCCCCATGACAGGCTCCGCCGTTACTGTTGAGAGGATCTTTTCAGTTGGACGAGACACTATTGGCATTCGTCGGGCCCGATTGAACGCGAGCGGGACCTTGATGCTCGTCAAGGCGCGTATGAAGTTGGACCGGCAGCGTGCCGTGGTTCAGGCCCAGCGAGCGCTCAAGAGGGAAAAGACGGATATTATCGACTTGGCAAGCTCTGATTCAGTCTGACACTTGTTCTCGGACTCATTTCGTACTTACGATTCTACTAATCTTTATTATTTCCTTTCTCCCTCGTACTCATTGTGTACTTACAATCCTATTAAGTAAATTCTGATAGTTCCTTTCTATACGTGTTTTACTGAGTTCCATCCGACCGTCCACCGTCCCGTCCCGTCAAGCGATACCAGAGAGCTTCCGCTACCGTACCGTCGACGGACGGTCCACTGGACGGCCGTCTTCGGCACCGTCCGTCCGCCGGGACGGACGGTGACGATCCCTAGTTAGGATACAGGCTGGAAGCGCACCCTAGTAGAAGAACATCAGTTGGCTGTTTGTTTTAGCTGGCGTGGAAATGAGGAGATCGAACCTGCATTTTCGGATGAAATCCAACCCTAGAAAGACCATCCAAAATATTTCGAGTATTTCAGCGCCCTGTGAGTACTACATATCAGTGGTGAGAAGCAAAAGACGGAAAAACACGGAAGCCAGGAACCCAGCAAAATATATGTTTCCTGAAATTTCGGACGCTGGGAGTCGAACCCAGACCTCCCACAATATGAAGCCTCCGGGAATTTGAAATGGGCGTGCGCCGCGCACTACGTCCAATGTTCCTTGCCAGGGTGTGTACTGGGCTAGGTACTGGCGTAAACAAGAGGTTACTGAACGAGGCAACCAAAAATAATTAACCAACCACTGCTTTACCCGACTGAGACATCCTGCGAGCCAGAGCATAGAGGAACGTATAGAGGAAGAGTTAAGCCCAAAAAACACGGATTAAGGCCAGGTTCAGGGCATCGGTCGAGCCAAAAAAAATTTAGACCAGAAGAATGTCGGACACTGGGAGTCGAACCCAGAATTCCCGCGTCGAAATTGGATACAGTCCCTGTAAATGCGAGTGGGTGTGCGCCGTGCACCGCGTCCGAGGCTAGGATCCAAGTGTGAGCATGCCCCTAGTAGGAGGGAATCAGCTGGCTCGTTGATTTTCTGGGGTTCAAAACAAATCAATTACAGAGATCGTGTTTGAATCGGTGATTGTGCTTGGAACGAGGCCTGGCTAGGTCGCCGGAACGAAAGACCGGTCAAAGACGTCGAGCAGAGCGTCATGTGGATACTATTAATCAGTAGGGAGAAGCAAAAGACCACAAAACCGCACACGGGAACACGGGAGTCGAACAAAAGCATTGGTATGAAGGAGTGGCATTTCAATTATTTTCTTCCGAAGATCAATGCAAATGGGTATGCGCCGCGTACCATGTCCGATATTCCTTGTCAGTGTGAGCAAAGAAGAGGTTACTGGGGCGAAAACGAAATGAGGTAAACCAGAAACAAACCACTTCACCCGATTGAGATTTCCTGCGAGCTCGGTCAGCGGGGGGGGCAGAGCAAAAAGAGACACATACAGAAAAAGTGAAGCTAAAAAAGAAAAACATGGATTGAGGCCAGGTTCAAGGCATTTGAATCGAGCCAAAAAATCATTGACCCGAAAAGTCTTCGAGAAGAATGTAGGACGCTGGGAGTCGAACCCAGAGCTCCCGCGTCAGACGGATCAGATGTTTGAAATGCGAGCGGGCGTGCACCGTGCACTGCGTCCGAGATGAGTGTAAAGGTTGGGGACGGGATGTAGTTGGGGGGGTTGAGTTGAGTTTTTTTATTTTATGGGAGCTCAAACCAAAGAGATCGTACCCCTATTTGCATCAAGTTCAGCCAGAGAGCCCAGAACGCAGAAACCAGCCAGTTAGCTCGAGTAAAAGAGAGAAGAAAGGAACGAAGAATAAAAAAAAATGACAAGGCAAGGTAATCCCGGATGTTGGGAGTCGAACCCAGATAGATATACTGCGTTATAGCGTGACTTAGTACAGTGGCGTACAGCGGAAGTTGTAGCTGGCGTGAGCCGTGCACTACATCCGGGTTTTAGTTTTTGAAAGAGACCGAACATCCTCGCGGTAGACTGTAGAATTGGGGCTGCTATACGCTGAGTGACTTGGCCGGAAGACGACTCGAAAGCTGAGCCTGACAGAATTGGGTTCCCTGCGCACAAATCTCTGAGCCAGTGGGTCTGGGCCAGCCGATAATTCACTGCACTTTTACTGGAGCAAGAACGGAAAATGGCACAGGAGTGAAGATGGAAGTTGAAGACAAGGGTGTTCGGCAATCTCCGGCCAATCATTTTTCTTGGCGCTCACCACAACGTCATGTCTCGTACTCCACTGCTGGGGGCGTATAAAACGCGGCCTTTGACTTCAAACTGCCGCCCAATACCAAGTTCTATACGACCTTGTCTTTAACTGCGAAATTCTGCGGAATAACTTGGAAATCTGACCGCAAAACTTGCTTCGATCTTCTTGCTCCTTAGATTCCTGTCCTGGTCTTAACTCTTGAATCCGACTCACGATGGCCACAATCCACGCCTCCCCGCCCAACATGGTCCCTACAATCCCCTCCGGCACCCTCCCACAGACACCCTCGAAAGAATGGGCAGAAAATATGACCGACCTGCTGGGCGGCCACGTTACGCGCACGCCCGTCGGAACACCTGGACCTGACATACCGGGTGGCTTTCCAGCCCATTTGGAGCCGGATGCCGATGCTGTGGACGCTCCGAGTAGCGCGGATGCGTCCCCGAAACCGGTGGAGGAAGATAGCGGGCTCCTGGCGACCGCACAGGCCACTCTGGCCGCTGCGACGGCGTACCTGCCGCCGGGACTTGCGGCGTATCTGCGTTAGTCTCTCTCTTCACTTCAAACTCACATCATCGACTAACTGGCGAGCTTGCGTTGTTACAGCAGCGTCCCCTGATTCAAGCTCTAAACCAGCAACCTCGGCCTCGGAATCATCTCTCCCCCCTGCTCCCGCCCTCCTCCGCGTCTTTCGCCACGTCATCCGTGTCGACGCTGGGGCGTCAAGACGGTGTCGACGTCGGCCATGGTGCAGGGGTACCCTATACTGAATCCGCGCCGGAGCCCTATCGCGCTGCGTATTCGGAGCCCACAAATGTACACTCTGCGACGCCTCCCAACGACCGACTCGACTCAACCACCTCTGCCCCCTCCAGCACAAGCCTCAGCACCATCGTACACACCGGGCACGCGTCTTCGCTGTCAGGGGTCGCTCCCATCTCTGTGTCTGTATCGTCACTTGCGTCTACCTCGGCACCGCGCCCGACATCGGGGCTGATCCCCTCCCACCCGGGTGTCGCCTCTCCCTCTCTTGTTCCCTCTCCCCCGCCCTGCCAGAGCCTACCTCGGGCCTCGTCCCGTCCCACCCCGGCGCTGCGGCGACGCCCCCGCTCACGGAGTCGCCCGCCCCACTCTCGACTGTAACCAAGGGTACAGATACAGATGCGTCGATTCCACAGCCCACCCCCGGCCTCATCCCCTCCCACCCGGGTGTCTCGTCCCCCTCGTCACACGTACACGCCCTCCCGACGCACATCGTCCACAGGCTCGGTGCGCACCCCACACCACACGCCGTCCCCGCGTCGGCGTCGTCTCCGAGGGCGGATAACGCTGCAGCTGTGGACGCATCCACCCCCTCCCTTGCCTCCGCAGTGTCGACAGGCGGCGACAGCGGGTACGCCGCCAGCACGGAGACGGAGGGGCCCGCGACGCCGGGGTCGGTGTCGGCGCCTGCGTCGTGGCCGACGCCGCCTGCGTACGTGGGCGGTGCGGCTGCCGGTGCTGCTGGTGGAGGGGCGGGCGAGACGAGGCTGGAGCCGCTCCGCGCCAGCGCGGTACCGACGGGCGACTTCGCCGCCCCTTCCGGTGACGACAGCACCTACCACCCTCGCGTCCCGGGGTCAGCCACGCCCGCCGCCGTGCGTCCTGACGCTCTTCCCGCAGACCCGCAAAGCCAGTACGCGGATGACGAGGGCGCGAACGGGGATGATCAGCTCGATTCCGGGAGCGACGCCGACGACAAGGGAGATGGAGAAGTGGGCGAAGCGGGAGAGGGGAGGCCCAAGAAGAGCAAGAAACCCAAACTCATCCAACGGCTGAAGGAGAAGATGCACGTCGGGTCGGCTTCGTCCTAGATTAGATTACGTGTGCGTGGAAGGATGAAGAATGAAGACGAAGTGTATCGCCGTCTGTACTTGTTCAGTCGGCCCGTGTACTTACTTATCTTCGTGCGTTCTGTCCGCTTGTTAATGTTGCTTGTAATTATCCACTGAATAATCTAATCTGGACTGCTATATCGCGAGCATCTGTGGGCGAGGCGAGGTAGCAGCAAGCACGAGGGCGGAGCGCCGCTTGTATTTACCCACATACGATCCCTGAACGGGCGTCACCACTTCTTTCTCCCTCCTCGTACGAAAACGCAGGGGGCGATCCACCCCATCTCCACCCCGAAATACCGACAGCTATGCTCGCTTCTTCCTCCGCATTGCCCGGCGGCCCCACCACCACACCGCGCGGGGCACGGGCGTCGGTCGGCATCATCCGGGCCAAGGCGATGTTCTGCATCTCTCCTTCTGTCGCCGACCCTCCCCTTCCTCCTCAGGTGTCACGAGGAGACAACGCAGGTGCAGGCGCACGTAGATGGCGGCGAGATAGTAGGGGGTAAAAGGCAGGCGCCGTTGCTTGCTTGCGCTCCCCGATACCTCCCCCAACGTACGAGTGCAGCCCATGCGTAGGCGATCCCGCTTTGGAGGACTGGGACACGTCGGCGGCTCCCCGTCCCCTTTCCATCCTCGTATGAATACGTCGACACTTCATCCCTCAGTGCGTAAAAGAATCCAAATTGTGCTACGACGGCGAGGCGATTGGGGGGTTTGAACCGTGACGTCGCTGGGCCCGCCTTCGACTGGGAGAATCCTGCCTATTCCAAACCGAGTTTCGCCTTTCTGGATAACTAGTTCGTGTCATTGGTAGCCCTGGCCACGAATCGAAAGTCGTGATCATGTGAGTACTTCAGGACAGTGTGAAGTAAAGAATGCCTGGTAGCAGACACCCCGCACTCGTGATATCACACGCAATATTCTGCTAGCGCATTGTAGTGGATCCAAGATCGGGACAATCCGCCAAAGGTGAACAGACTTTTTTATTTTGCTCTTCCCCACAACTTCCCAGGAAAATTTGAGAGCAAGTGGCTATGCCAACTCTGTTCAGCAAGACCTCATGCGCGGTTGGCTATTTTGAGGACAGCGCTAATAAATCGATGCATAACGGATTTCTCACAGCCCTGTTCCCAGAAGCGCCCGGTTTGAATTCGGTGCATAAATCAAACAGGTCCTCGCGACAGTTCATTAATCAAACATGTCGGAGCTGTGCGTGAACGAAGCTGTATGCAGGCTGTGTCCCTCGTGTTGCTTTTCTTCCCAATACCACACTCTTCACTCATTCCCTCTCAATCCTGGCGATGGCCTCAAACCAAGCACTCATACCTTGGGAACCTGTAGCAGACAACGGAGTTGTAGCGATACAAGAGAACTCGCGACCCGAGTACGGAAGATGGGCACTTTTTCTCAATGCTTTTCTCTCTCCATCGCCAGGCCGCACCTTGAATCATGTGTACACCTCCGTGGGCAAGGTCCTGGAAACTCAGGCAAACCGGGTTGCATACAAATTGGGCCTCGGTCCTCATGTCATCGCTGGGAAAATTAAATTGCA